TCCTGAAATACAAAAGCACTTTTTGCGCAAAAGCATCCGTGCCAATCTAGACGCGCTTTTGCAGAAATACTTTTAATGGAAAAACTTTTCCATTAAAAGTATTTCCGCAAAATCATGCCAGTCTAGATGCAGCCCCAGTGTTTAAAGGCAGAGCTGACTAGAATCAATTGAGAGTCCTTGTCTTGTCTCTGTGATTGCTTGAGCAAAACTCATTGATAAAATCTTGTCTAGACTGACCTTGGACTCAACATGCAGGCGACGTGTTGAAGGGGAATGCAAAGGAGGCAATGGTGGGGAGGTACCATATTACCTAGTGAAATCATTGGTGCTGAAATCACTAAGGACTGGAATTTGACCACAGAACTGACACTTTCTTAACAAAGACTCCAATTTTGCTATTTAAAAAGTAAATCAATGTAACAGAAAGTTGCAACGCTCTCAGGTAACTTTTTAAAAATCAAACTTTAAACTTTATTGAAAAGATTGGATAGTTTGCAATTGAAAATATTTGACCTACACTTAAGGCAACTGATTTAATTTTGTGTAAAATTTTTCATAATAAAGGATGACATTTTTTTTGGAAAATATTCAACTATATTGATACACATTTTGATCAGATCTACTTCTGATGTGATATTTGTGTGTGGTTGTGGTTTGTTGTGTGGGTGTCTTTTTGCTCAACAAAAAATCCTGGGTGGTGGGGCCCCACCAAAACTGTTCGAATTGGGCCCTGCACTTCCTAAAGCCAGCCCTGGGTGGCAGGAGCAGCCACTTTAAAAGTAAGATAAATTTACCAGTTCCTCCAGTGCCTGGCTCTGCAAGCAGTGGGGGTAGGGGTAGGGGGTTGATTGGGGCGGGGCGCTCCTGGCACTGGGGATGCCTGGCTCAGGGGGAGGGGTAAGTGCATTGGGATGGGGGGGCACTAGGAGGGCCTGGGTCTGAGGCAGGGGTGAGTACATTGGGGGTTAGTGTGTGGCTCCAAACTGGAGAGAGTGGTACAACTTTTGCGTAACAACGTTGGTCTCCCCCACTTTTTTTTTCTATACAGAATTTTTTCCCTGGGGGGGGGGTTCAGTATTTTTTGTTAAACCATCTGGCAACCCTAGTATTTTTTGTTAAACCATCTGGCAACCCTAGCTGTGTCTCTCGGGGAGCCGGACCGCACCCAGTGCACTCCCCATCCCACTCCTGGGCTATGTCTACACTGGCGGGTTATTGCACAAGAATGGCCGTTCTTCTGGAAAGCGTCCACACTGTCCACCGGCTCTTGTGCAAGAAGATTTCCAGTATGGATGATAAGAGAGGGCATCTTGTGCAAGAGCTACACTCTTTTTTAACAGGTGTAAGCTCTCTTGTGTAGGAGCTCTTGCGCAAGAGGGCAGTGTGGAAGTTCGGCAGGGGTTTCTTGTGCAAGAAACCCCTATGGCTAAAATGGCCATGAGTGCTTTCTTGTGCAAGAGAGGGTCCACACTGCCATGGGCGCTCTTGCGCAAAAGCACAGCTGGCACATGGCAGTGTGGATGTTTTCTTGTGCAAGACTTCTTGCACAAGAACCCTTGCACAAGATGTTCTTGTGCAAGAAACTCCCAGTGTAGACATAGGCGTGGGGAGCCCCACACTACTGCCTCCGTATCAGGTGGCAGCAGCACAGGGAGGCAGGTGGCTCCTTGGCACACTCTTCATTTAAAACTCAGACCCATGGACTGGAAAGGAGCCAGCCAGCCAGCCAGCCAGACTGAATTCTAAAGGCAGAGCATGCTGGGGGACGGGGCTTGTTGCAGTTAACCATTAACAGATAAGCAGCTGCTTGTGCACTAACCCAGTTACCCGGGCAATGGAGGCGGGGACAAACTCTAAGACAGAAAACAATGGAAATGCCTATCAGCTGTCTACACTGGCCATGAGTATTTGCACAAGAACACTAACTTTGTACTGTACAAAACCTGTGGTTCTTGCACAGTTTGATGCTCCCGCTCAAGGATAAGCCCTCTTGCACAAGTATTCTTGCACAAGAGGGCCAGTGTAGACAAGCAAGTTAATTTCTTGCACAAGAAAGCCCGATGACTAAAAATGACCATCAGAGCTTTCTTGTGCAAAAGAGCATCTACACTGGCACGGATGCTTTTGCGCAAAATCTTGCCGCCTGTCTACACTGGCTATGAGAATTTGCGCCAGAACACTGACTTTGTAGTGTACAAAATCAGTGCTTCTTGCGCAAATACTTTCACGCTCCCGCTTGGGAAAAAGCCCTCTTGCGCAAGAGGGCTTTTTCCCAAGCGGGAGCGTGAAAGTATTTGCGCAAGAAGCACTGATTTTGTACACTACAAAGTCAGTGTTCTGGCGCAAATTCTCATAGCCAGTGTAGACAGGCGGCAAGATTTTGCGCAAAAGCATCCGTGCCAATCTAGACACGCTTTTGCTGAAATACTTTTAAAGGAAAAACGTTTCCGTTAAAAGTATTGGCGCAAAATCATGCCAGTCTAGATGCAGCCTTGGAGACAGGGTGATTGGTAATGTATATAGAGCTCTTCACCTTTTGGATACCCCTCCAAATCCAGCATATACACCAACTTTCTAGCAACTCACTTCACAAAGATTACCAATCTCTGTTAGATTTGATCAGAGAAACTTTGACAGCTCATGATATCATCTACATATTTGTTAGTCTTTAAATTGCTACCAGACTATTTGTTGAAATTTGAATGTTAGGTTTGTCTTTGCTATTGCAATAAATTGGCACCACGGATTCAGTGTAGCAGTGTTGATTTAGCATGTTTGGTCAAAACACACTATGCTGACCAGAGAGCACTCTCCCATCAATGTGCCTCTACCATTAAAGAGTGGCAGAAGCTATGACAGTGGGAGAGCATCTCCCTCAGACACAGTGTGATGTAGATGGCATTTTAAGTTGATGTGGATTATGTGCTAGGGAGGTGGGTAAGGAGATGCAAACCTCAGAGGAAAGTAAATTACATTGAACTGCTGTAGTGTGGACAAAGTAGAAAATTAAGACATTCCTTCATATGAAGGGTTTGAATTATGTGTTGATTCATTCCCTTTAGAAACTGATATTTAAATCCTCATCTCACTAATCCAGTTACTCTCTTTCATTAAAATAAGTCACAAAGTACAGCTGTGAACTTCACAGCCAAAGCTAAGTCTATTTTCCAGGGCTCAGGTCTTTTGAACTGAAGTGGCTAAAACAATATCCATGTGCAAAAAGTGTTCCTAAGAATTCCATGTAAATATTCCTCACACTTGGCAGTGGAGGGGCGGCCCGCCCCTGCCGGGGCGGGGGAGGGAGGAGCCAGTGTCCCCCAGGCTATGCAGCATGCCAGGGCCCTGGTTACTCCATCCCTGCCCTCTGGCTGCAGACACAGTTCATAGGAACATAGAGACCTCAGGAGGTCATCAAATCCAGCCCCCTGCCCAAGGCAGGGCCAATCCAACTAAATCAACCCAGTCAGGGATTTCTCAAGCCGGGACTTAGGGCGGGGGAGGGAGGAGCCAGTGTCCCCCAGGCTATGCAGCATGCCAGGGCCCTGGTTACTCCATCCCTGCCCTCTGGCTGCAGACACAGTTCATAGGAACATAGAGACCTCAGGAGGTCATCAAATCCAGCCCCCTGCCCAAGGCAGGGCCAATCCAACTAAATCAACCCAGTCAGGGATTTCTCAAGCCGGGACTTAAACACCTCTAGGGATGGAGATTCCACCACTACCCTAGGTAACCCATTCCAGTGCTTCACCACCCTCCTAGTGAAATAGTTTTTCCTACTATCCAACCTAGACCTCCCCCACTGCCACTTGAGACCATTGCTCCTTGTTCTGCCATCTGTCACTACTATGAACAGCCTCCCTCCATCCTCTTTGGAACCTCCCTTCAGGAAGTTGAAGGCTGCTATCAAATCCCCCCTCAATTGCCCTCAGCCACCTGCCCATCCCTCACTGCTGCCCTTTTCCCTATTTGCAAGGGCCTTCTAGCTCCCTCACCCTCTGAAACTGGTCCCCTAAGGGCACTGTGCTGCCTGTATGGTCGGGGGTGGGTGAGCAGGAACCATCCATTTTTGGTCAAGCATTGAACACACTCATAAAATCCATTCAAATATTCCTCCTCTTTCTGTTAGTTATTTCACATCCATATGTACACTCCTCAGTTCTTGGTGTTCATGTCTCATGTTATCAAATACAAAGTTGGTGACATATTTTTCTCTGCAAATCTCACAGATGAATATAAAATACCTGCAACATTTGCCTCATTTTCTATCTTATCTATTGCTATTTGAATATGGCATGAGATTTTTTTTCCTTGTTTCTCTGATAAAATAATACTAAGAAAAATCTCTGATTTATGCCTAATATGCCCAGACACTTGTACAGGCAGTCCCCGGGTTACGTACAAGATAGGGACTGTAGGTTTGTTCTTAAGTTGAATTTGTATGTAAGTCGGAACTGGTACATATTGTAGGGGAAACTCTAGCCAAACATTTTTTTTTAGTTTTGGATAGCATAGGGAAAGGTTAACTCCCCTCTAATGTTTGTTTTGCTGTCTGTTCCCCTGTTCAGAAGATTTCACATCTATTTCTGTCCCTGTGACAAACTCAGGACTAAAAGAGTAACTCATCAAATACCAAACAGCTCTGCACCATGCTTTGAGCTAATAGCTTTATTTCCACACACCACCCAGGGTTCTAGGAGGAGGGTCCTTTTTTTGCTAACACAATGAGGCCAGCACTTTGTTTGTTTTGGTGGAGTCTTTGTTTGCCCAGGGAGCCCAGCATGTATAGGGGGAGGAGGGGCGGAGAGGCTGCTTTTGTCTGCTGTTCGCCAGCCTGTTGCTCAGGGGAGGGGGCAGCCTGTTGCTGGCAGGGGGGGGGGAGGGGCAGCGGGCGTGGGGAGGCACATTTCCTCTGCCCGGCAGCTCTGCGGGACCCCAGTCGGAGCCGGCCCGAGGAGGATCCTAGGACCCAGGTGAGCGAGCCCCGGGAATGCTGCTGCGCATGTGCGGGAGTTGCCTCACCCCGTTCATATCTAGGGATCCAACGTAAGTCGGGGACTGCCTGTATTGCAGCATCCCTGGGCAGAATCACTTTCCTATGAACAAGATGAGGATCCGAGAGGAGAAGCCAATTGCTGGGTCCATATTCCCCTATGGGGGTGGGGTAGCTGTGGAATCAATGTCAGAGGAAATCCCCCATAGTGACACTTCTTGGTTTTTCTCTTTCCGAGGAAAAACTTTTTTTGTTTGTTTGTTTACAGGGATGTTCAAAATTGTGTTTGTGAGCTTAGCCTGACAGCAGGGGCTAGGTCTACACTATAATAAAGTGATCAAGTATTTTCCTAGCATGGCACAATATAGGATTTCTGTCTGCAGGGATAGAGTTTTGGGAAACCGTGATGGGAAATTAACTCATGCGTGTTCTGAAACCTCCACAGTTGTCCTTCTCACTCTTAAAAGCTGCAGAATGACATCCATGTTTTGCGCTGGTTTATCCCATTCTGCCATGGATCAGGGAAGAGAAATGGCTGCAGTGGAGCCAGTTCAGGTAAGGATCATTGGGGTCTGCTTATGGATTCCTGCAGGAGGGAGATGGACTTTAAATACACAGGATATGGGGAAGCTTTGGGTCTGGTTTGAGGTTGGAGCAGGGCAGGAAATACACAGGGTGGAATCAAGGGCTAGTTTAATTTGTGCATCATGGCTAATTTAATTTGTAGCTTAGATTCTAGGAACAGACCCATGAGATCAGGAAGTGGAAAATCCCCTAATTTGTGAAATAGGAAACAATCCACCCATATTAGGCTAGGAAATCTGGCGCATGGTGGCACAAAAGATTGACCCGCCCCCTACGCTCACCATGGCAGTGGGAGTCACAGCAAACTAGCACCCCACTCTG